TTTGAAAGAAGCCGGAAAAGTTAGTGCAAATTTTCATACTGCCACGGCTTTGGTCCTTTAACATTTTCATGTTGTATTGAAAGATTCCCTTTTTTCTTAACAGATCAAATTCTTGCTGCCTCTTTGCAAAGGGGAGCGACAATATTTCGCATATTGTCGACTCCTCTTTATTTATTGTGAACAGATGTCTTTTAAGTTTGACAATAAATTCCCCGCAGAATATACAAAGCCATGGAATTCTTTTTCTTCTGCTTGTTTCCTTTTGAATCGCATTTCTCTATTCAAATGCTTTTTTGGCTTCGATTCACAACAGTTATCGTCTTTGTTATTCCTATGGTTTTCTTTGGATTCACTCAAATCGCTTATTGAAACTGACTCTGAAGATGCTGGGACATAATCTGTAGACTCATCTAGAATTTTAATAATAAAATGTTTTGATCCAGTCAAATAAATTTGATGTAATTCAATTAGTTCCTACTACTAAATGAACAGGATAAAGTAAATGGGGTGGTTCATTATCACTAAAAAGTTATACATCGAAGTTCTCTATTATCATTTTTTTAATTTTATGCTCAAAAGTTTCAATGCTACAATGACAGTGAAGCACAGTTTCCGAAATTCTAGACAAGTATGCGCAGATACCAGCGCTATTCTCTATTGCGGACATATATTGTCACAATTTGGTTTATTACCATGTATCGATATTTATTTGCTACTGAGTTAATAACAATCAACAAGAATAGAAAACACATTTAGTTACATCCTGTCATAGCATCGTCGAAGTCACTCTCAGCATTTTCTTCTGCTAAGTTATGAATATGTTTCATGGCTAAGTTATGAATATGGAGTCAGGTTTTACATAACGTGGAAAGATCACTTACTCTGGCCGATAGACCACTTTATTCTACGCCAAGGTGCGTTTGGGTAATGGTAGTCGTATCGGATTTCGTCTCCTACGTTGATGTGTCGGCGAGCAAATAAGCAAATGTGAGGGACATCATCCACTATTATTTTCTTCATGGTTGCGTTTGGATTGTTCCAATCATCAGTTGCATATGCAATCAGTTGCTTGAGCATCAATGCTGAAATTAATCACGGATAGAGTAAGTCACCATCTTGTGAATATGATGCTGAATTTCAGTTTGAGTGATCCAGTAAGAACTCAGAATGCATGTTTTGAATACCTAACAAAGAGCGTATTTAGTGCAATAAAACATTGAAAATTGCAAAATTTAATTTTTAAAGAGAACGATAACTCACAGATGTCAGTAGCGTCATAATTGTATATATATACGAAAACACGCTAGCATGTAGCGCCGATGGAATGCATGAAATGTGGAACTATTACTTTGAATTCAATTCTAATCAAGTTAATTTTTTTTGCCATTCAATGATTATTCACATGCGCTGTGAGTTGCGGTGAGCAATATCGTATTTTTTTGATTTAAAATTATTCGATTATTTTAACGAACATCGAATGGCACGAATCGAATAATTGAGTACAGTCATTTTAAACAATATTAATTCGAATGTCGGCCGCCGAAACGTTGGCATTACAATAATTATTATTTTTTTTTGACTTTACTAGAAGAGTGAAAACTTCGTAACAATACGGCGTTTTTTTATTCATAATTTTGTTATAATCGAAGCCCGCAGTAATTTTTTTGTCATCGCGGTCGTTTTGGTGGCTGACATCCCAATTAATGTTGGTAAATTGTATTATAGCACTTTTTTATTCACTAATATCAAATCTCACTAACGGCGGATGTTGTAGTTTGGTTTATATATTTATATATATCGAGCAGAATTGTGAGTTCACATCGGCGAAGATGTTAAATACAATCATTAGTGCATTCACAACAAACAAAATTGGAAATTGAAAAATATGATAGGCGCAAAAAAGAAACAAAAATAATATTTCTCACATTTATCGTTTCTGCGTGTTAGCGATAGCCGTAGGTAAATTCTTACATGTAACTTGTTGTAAATTTATCTTTATTAATATAGGAATTATGTATAGAAATTGATATGAAATTTTCCATTTTTACAGCTCCGAACAGTGACGATGCCAGGTAATGCAAAGTTTATATTTCGTTAGTATAATATCAGTGAATCCATTTTTATCTTTTATCAATATTAATGAATATCGTAAGTGATTTGTTGATATAAACCAGCATCGTAGTGGGTGTTTTTTCAAATGGAGGGTTTCACTGGAATTGACCCAATTCGTGACACTTCAGGTCGTCATTGTTTTATTTCAGGGGTCACCAAACTTTTTTGACCACGGGCCGGGTATGACTCAAACTGTGTTGAAACGGGCCGGGTGAATATTTTTGTCAATGCAATACAATAAATTCACAAAAGTTGGGAAATCCATTCAACAATATATCTTCTACATTTCCGAAGACTTGATTTAAATTCTATTTATATCGCATAATATAGATCAGAAACATCCTAGGAAAACAAATATGAAAGATTTCAATATCTAAACAACTATCCTGAGTTTAGCTGTTATCAAAACGTTTCTGTCGTGAATTAGCAATTTTCAAAATCCGCTTTTTCGCGCCAAAAAATGTACGCATCACGTCTGCTAAGTACCGTTATGCAGTGTTAGAAAACCGCTCATAAAAACGACTACGGACTGCTTGCTGTAGCTTAGAATTCCATGAAATTTTGTCATAATTTAGATAAAATAAACAACTATTATCTGGTATTTGATTTTTTTCATTAGCGCATAAATTTCCCAACATTCGACGCTTTTGAAAATTACGCTCCAGTTATACGTAGTGCAAATTAATGATATTGTCTATGGACACCAATAAAATTTATATGTACGTGTGTATTTCTTTCCTAATTTGATACTTACCAATTTTTATGAAGTTTGCACAATCAGAACATCGTTAAATATTACCCACAATGAACCACTGTCAAACTATCATGCACAACTCCAGCGTTTATTTGTGACGATGTTTCGGCGGTGTCAATGACCGTTGCCAGAATAAAATCCTGAAATAGTCTCAATATTCCATAGATGTGACGCACGTCGAAAATATTACTGATTGATATGTGTTACTTTTTGATAACAAAAAGTAATACAATCCTTATGGAAAAAATTGGCCTGTCGGGGTGGTACTAAAGTTCCGATATCTCCGTTATTTCTTGACCGTTTTTTATAAACTTGGTATTGTTTTCTATTTTCACTCAGATCTATCCACTAACGCAGTTTTTATTTATATCGGAGTTGGTGTGACTTGTGAAATTGGAGCAGTACGCGAGGGATTACAGTACTGTTAGCGCAAAATGCACATTCGACGTTTATTTTAGCACAAGAAACGTAAACAGTTTCGTCGAAAGCACGCGCGACGAGTGTACAAGTGCATTTTTCTCAGAAAACGTTGCGTACCGGTAGAGAATTTTAGCCTATTATGTCACAGCTATTCCTAGACTAATTTTTCCTTACTACTATTAAAACTAAAACTGCTGAGGACGCAAATGATGACTGACTTATTTGATTCATACTTAAATTTCCGAAACACAACCAAAAACTAACGAATAGCATTTAAAGTCGCAAAAACGAAATATTGTTTACAACCACGACTGAAAATCTATCAGGGTGAAAAAAGTGTCTGAGCGGAAGCGAAAACACTTATTATTACGTCACGTTTTTGCATCTTGCTGATTGGCCAATGTTACGAATTAAACAAGGAAGACGATGCTCGGGAAAATCTCCCTTGGAAAAATATTTAGCATTTTTTGCGTGTTATTGCGGGCCGGATAAAGTGACGCCGCGGGCCGGATCCGGCCCGCGGGCCGTAGTTTGGTGACCCCTGTTTTATTTAACAAAAGTTTTGATTCAATTTAATGTGAAAACTGCATCCATATTCATTGTTCACTGAACTTTTCAGCAAACTCTGTGCTCTCAGGTCTAACTGTACTGCTAACGATGTCCATCATTTAAGCATTGCTCTCTCGTTTGATAAGGCAAATTTACTATTAGGCCTACTATGTTTTTTTCGTCTGTTCTCATTCTCTATTTTATTCAAAATGACAATAACTTTACAATTCCAATAAAATATCCTCTTTTTTACATAGAAAATGTTACTTCACAATACCATCTTCTCTGGAAATAAGTAAGTACAATTTTTCTTTATTTCAAACTTCATATTATAATGGTTCAGAAAAAGAACTTTGATGTAACACAAAATTTTGAATTAATGTTTCCTATTCCTAGGATATTCAGGATCATTATTTAGTGCAGTGGTTCCCATCCTTTAGGGCCGATGGCTTCATTTCGACGTCTTCAGCACTCAAGGCTTCCCTGCTTATCCTTATAGTGTTATTTTGATTGGTGAATTCTAAATCTTATTATGTTCAACAAAGGGAAAATAAACTCCAACGGAAACCATATGTTGAGAACCACTTACTATTCAAACTGAATTCAGATTTTCAATATAAAGTGAAGTTTGATTTTGAAATTGCTGCTGCATTGGATTTGATGATAGATTAGTGTCTTACTACATTCCATACTTCTTAGTAAGCTAGAAATTTTGTTAACAATTTTAGATTTCATATTCTATTTGGCTAAAAATTAATTTGCCTTGTGCTTGAAATAAGATCTGCCAACTTTACAAATTAACTTTCACTTATTAACAAACTAAATTTTGGATATTTATACAACATTTTTAATTGTTCCGCCTACTAATATCATAGGCGGCCCCAGGCGAAGTAGTAGAATCAGAATGAGGCCGCTGAAGCCCGGCGAGTATAAGATACACGGGTATGTTGTTAGGTTCTACTGAGTATTATACTTTAGTAAGGATATTTTTGACCATAAGGTGATAGATTTCAAAAAATTATATATTTTTTTAATTCTATTGGCAAAACTGAAATAAATTCAGAGTAAACCATGATTTTTTGGAAATCATAGCATGTATTCATATTAGTGGCTGTTTGCCAATGTTTGAAAACAATTCATTATTACTTCTTAGTATAGAAATAATCTCAACTGTCTTGATTAATAAAAATTCAATTCACTTGATTGAATATTATTTTTGAGCCTGTATTTCATTGTCCAATATTCTATTTCGACTGTGTTTTTTTTAGTGTGGGTGGAGCATTACTTGGAATCAGAAGAGGCCCCGGTAACTTATATTTTAATTTCTACTTTGTTTGTTGTATAATTGAGCAGTTTTTTTCGCAGTCTTTTTCTGCAGATGTAACAATGATCAATAAAAGCATTCCAACCACTATATGCATCAAAACACAAAAAGGTAAAGTTTTTGGAAGAACTGTACTTCCTTTTCTGCATTGTCTACCCAATTTATTACACATGCAGCTTGTAATTATCATTTTTTGGTTCGGATGGCCTGTATGGTGAGGAGGTTAAATAAAACACCAGCATTTCTAATGAACATCATAAAGCAATTATGTGGTACTATTTAGAAAATAATTTTTTTTTATTGTGTTCAATTCTTCTAATTCCTGGTGTTTTCCCAATCATTGCTGTGATCTGTAGCCCGTTTGGAGAGGGTCTAATTTTAAGTATGCCTAACAATACGTAATCCAATTAGAGTTTCGTAGCTCTTAAGTTTATATATTGAAACTGTAGTACTGTAGTGATCACAATTCACCAGTTATATAGGGGTGTTGTCAAAAACTGAATATAACTGAATACAACTGAATACAACTGAACACAACTGAAAACAACTGAATACAACTGAATACAAAAACTGAACACAACTGAATACTACCGCACACAACTGAATACACGGCTCGTGGCACGTGACATAAGTTTGAAAATGAATACAACTGAATATAACTGAACACAGCTGAATACAACTGAAAACAACTGAACAAAACTGAATACGACTGAACAGAACTGAAAACAACTGAATACACGCAACGAATACAACTGAATATAACTGAACACCACTGAATACAACTCGACAATGGCGCGGGAGGCATAAGATTCGTGACGTCATCACTGATTACGTCATAATCGATGATGCGAATTTTGGAGATAGCCTCTCGAGCAATACATCAAACGTTTCAGAAAGATGAGGCGGTTTCATTACGGTTATTCTTGGCGTGATTGGTGACGTCATTGCTGATTACGTCATAATTGATATTGCGAATTTTGGAGATAGCCCTCGAGCAACGCGTCAAACGTTTCAGAAAGATTAGGTGGTTTCATTACGGTTATTCGTGTCATATTTGGTGACGTCATTACAAATTGCGTCACAATTACAAATGTGCATATTCGAAATATAGTGACGTGCAGTATAATGCACCCTTAATAAAAACGAGATGATTTGAGTGCGGTAACTTTTGTCGTGATTGATGATATCATCACATATCACATCGTTATCGCCAATGCGAATTTTCGAAATAGCACAGGGACAGGTATAGTTCTTATGATTCCGAAAACTAGAGGCGATTTCGTTATGACGGTGTTCTCCGACCAGATCCGCCCCTCACCACCGCGTGTTCGTCTCAACATTTAATTTTTGAACTATAATTCATTTTCAAGCAATTTTCAAAATCAATTCATCGCGTCATAATATATTCTATGAAGATCTCATTGTTGAAGAGGGGCCACAAATGTCGTAGCCTGTTTATTTCTCATCGTCTAGATTCGATCCTGTCTACAGCTTAGGCCAGGGGTAGGCAACCTACGGCCCGCGGGACGTATCCGGCCCGCCGAGCAATATAATCCGGCCCGCGACGCTTCACTGATTTAGACTAAATTATATTATAATCTAACAAGTATATAAATCTCGTTTAATGAGCCTATAATTTTATTATAATTAGACAAATGGCAACAAAACGTAGTTGATGCCGAGTCCAAATGGTTTAATGGCGCAGAAAATATTCAAATGATCAGTCTTTCGCGCGCTGTTTGAAATTTAACGTCGGATCTGTGTGAAAAAGGTGATTCATTGGCCATCCATTCGGTTTTTAACTTTTTTTTAAAATATGTGCGGCCCGCTAATGACTTGCAAGCTTTAATTTTGGCCCGCGAGCGATAAAAGGTTGCCGACCCCTGCTTAGGCCTACTATTTAACATACTATTGTAATATAATGCGGCTTATTGTGGCATCGGATGTTCACGATAGATTGCTTGCAGTCCATTTGCAGATCTGAATATTCGTGTGCACACTAGTAAAGACAGTTCGTTTTCAGTTGTTTGACAGGTTTACATATTTATCCCCGGGGAGAGTAAAGTACAAAAGACGGCTTGATCCTAGGGCTAACCACGACCTCTCGTCCGGTTACCATCCATGTCAGGTGTGGGTTAGTTAGCCAGTTACCGTATTTGCTCGTTTAATAGCCCGGGCGCTTATTTTTTTTAAACAAACTCACTAACCTGGCCCTTATTCAAACCGGCGCTTATTCAAGCAGGAGCGCTTGTTATTTTTAAAGTGAAATTATACACAAAAATTACGATACCGGTATCTTTGAAGACAAATATTTGACGACATTAATCCTTTTTCCATGTCAAACGCAAATTATTCACGTCTTAAGAGTAATTCCTCATAATACGCATCTTATTTCCTATTGTTCTCTACCACTGAAAAATCAGCTTTCACACCGGGCGGCTATTCAAACGGGCGCTTAATCAAGACCGGGCGGTTAAACGAGCATATACGGTATTTGTTTTTAGAGGTATGGACTTGATGGTGAAGAAATCCGTAACCGACCAGCGGTAACGTGAATAGTGTCGAGGAGTACAGCAACCCTCTCGCATAAAATTAACCTCCGAATGTGATACGGACCTGCAAACCCACGCAGAGGGATCGAAGGTGCGATGTCGAGTGTATTCCTAACGCTGAGCACGCTGTAGCCTACCGCCTAGCTGCAAACCACCCATTATTCCTTGTTAAGTACGGGATTGCTTACGGAAGTGCTGAAGAAGGATGTGTTTTGTATTCTAACTAAAGCACTTGGCGATGAATCACTGACACCTGGATTGAATATTTTCGCTTGTTTTAATAATATTACCACATGATCAAATTGCGAAAATTAGTTTAGTGTCGCATTTGACGCTGAAAACTTGTCTCCGGGGTCACAGGTCACCAGATGTCGTTTCGAACCTCAAACAAGACTTCTGACACTTCGCCCGCGCAAGGTGTTAGGTTATTGGATGCTCGTTGGTCTTAGTTCTCCGATGAGATCATAAGCAATAATTTCGTAAGTGGTTTATGCGAGTAGTAACCAAGGTATCTTACGACAGGACTACAAATCTGTATCGCTTGCCCTCGGATGAATACCAACCGTTATATGATTGCGACCAAAGCCTTATGTATACAGCACTCAGCCCTGCTGCCTCTCTGTTACGTGTTAGCCTGTACAATTCTGTTAAATCTGCTTCGTACCAAGCGAAGATTTCATCGAACCTTTCTTTCCCTTGGATGTATTAGGTAACTTATGCAATTGATTTAGCTAGACTATTTTTACTGAGAAAGTCCATTCAAGTTGTCACTAAGAACTGAAGGAGATGGATCAATCCAGTGAATCACCATGCGGCATATGCTTTAAGAATTGTGCCGAAGGAAGCCACAGCATTTTATGCGAAATATGTGGAAACTGGTTCCACGGCACCTGCGAGAAATTGAAAGAAGAATCTATCATGGAACTTGGGAACCTCTCGCAAGCATCGTATATATGCAGAAAGTGCTCTTCGGAAGACGATGGTTCATTCGATTTCTTGACTGCACTCCATCGCTTACGCAGAGTAAGTAATTCACCGCTCTTCCGTTCTTATAGACCTAATTACAGATTGTGCATCATCCGTCTAGTGTTTTTATAAAGAAATTTATTAAAAGTAAAGTCACGCGCACTCGCTCAAAATGTAGGCGCTGATCTCTGAGCAAAGTTACGGACGATCGCTAAATTGCCAAGAGTTACTGAGGCTATAAATTATTATTATATTGAGTGCAGTTAGTAAATACGGATTGCCACGAGACTTTAACGCTGTTTATGTCAACACGATGAAAAATAACTATGAAATAATGAATTTCCACATGACGGAATTTATTACAAATTTGGGAATGAAAATTGCTTGTCTGATGGATATATTGTTAGTAAAACGGGTGAACACAGTCCATTCGATTATGTATAGATTAAGCACAGTATTGATGGGAAAGATTTTACGGAATTTCATTCTCCATAACCATATGACGACTTTTCCCGAAGGTGAAAATGGGATTTTGTGTCTGTTCCAATCGGTTTGACAAACCCCGGATGGTTCCCGCTCAATGGGGTCAATGTGAATTTTAAAGTATTGTGATGGTGGAAACGCCATTAGGGATGCTTGATAGCGGAATTAAACATCATTTTCCATAAATTTTGTGATTGGTGATTCACAACTAATCTCCATTTCTATTTCTAGAGTGCCAAGAAGAATTGGGGCATTTTTTGTGCATGTACAATCAGGGAAAAGCATATCATGCCATATTTCATAAGTCATGAAAAAGATATCACCAAGTACCATACATCCACTGATCGTGACTCACTGGACATATTGCGAAAGCATGGACTGGAGAAAGGCAAACGCCCACTTAAGACTACAGCAGATGGTAATTGTCTTTTCAACGCAGTGTCGTTGCTTCTGAATGATTCTGAAGATATGGCTAATGAGCTTCGGACAAGAACTTGCATCGAAATGGTCAATAATGAAGACGAATACATTCAGTCTGATATGGGGAGAGTTGTTTGTCATGTGTCCCCGGACTACCGCGAAGCCTGTGTCGACTGTACTCGTATTGGTGCTTTTTCTTCAGCTTGGACAATAATGGCACTCTCTAACATCATTAAAAGACAAGTGAACATGCTGTACCCCCCTGTTAATGGGACAAGGGACTTATATCCAAAGTTTCTCAGCAATTGCATCAAGCCTAGAGAAATAGTTGGCGTAGATCTGTGGATTATGTGGACAACAACAGAACTGACGATGACTTCTGACTGGATTCCAAATCACTTTGTACCACTTGTTGAAGAAACTGAATTTAATCCTGGTGCTCTCCATTCTACCCCAGTAAAGGAGGCTTTGAATACTATTCCTGACTCTCCAGGCGTTACCCCATTCAAATTTGGAAAACTCAATTTTGATGAAACCAGTTCTGATACTAGCATCGGTTTTGACCAGATTAATTTTGAATTTGGTTGGGATATCAGTGACGACAGCGATGACTCTGCTGATGCGTTCGAGCCAAAAAAGATGAGGGCTACCACACCAATTACCACATCAAGTCCATCTACTGCTTTCGAATCATCAAATGATGAGCGTGAAATACAATTGAGTGGCAGATTTCTTGCACCCAATGAACTTTACACAACTATGCTGGCAGAGGTTATTGCTGAAAAAGAAATCCCCACTGGTCCGAAAAGCAACATTGGATTCGTGGTACAGTTGGGAAAAAATAACAAGAGGAATTTTGTTCCAGATGATTGTGGCGCGTGGTGTGGTGTAAAAGCAGGGTCTACCAGAGCATATTTCCTCATTGAAGAAAATGGCAACCTGAAATTCGTCAGAAAAGATAAAGATGGCTTCTACACAGAGAAAAAGTCCGGGGGAAAATTCAGGAAAGAGCATGTACGGCCAATGCCCGACACCCAAGATATCCTAATTCTTCATAGAGTTTACAGCAAACTAAAGGCTAACACGAACTATCGAAAACGGGTGTCCTGGTTTCGTGGTTACGATGGTTCCTGCATCGGTGAAGGGAAAGCTGTCGTTGAATACCTGGGAGCTTTTCCGAAACAGCCCATGCCTCCCCATGGAAATACAAAACGAAACAAGCGTGAGTATGTAAGAACACCTCCTGGAGTTGTAAAAAACATCGATGATCATGTGCAGTCGAGGATGTCCACAAGGGAAATCTATAAGAAAATGATTGGCGAAGATTCGATTCATGCCCCGAGGGACTATCGACAAGTGAGATATAGGAAAATGCATGCCAAAAAAGACAGTTGGGGTACAGAGGGTTCACGCACTTTCGCTGATGGGGTTCTTGATGTGCTAAGCATGGTACAGACAGATGACTTCGTGCGAGAGGCAGCGGTAATCAAAGGTTCCCCACCCTGTGTGATTTTGTATACCAACAATCAGCTCGCTGATCTCAAGCGAATAGCTTCAACAACAAGTGACAAAACAATTTTGGGTGTTGATCGCACGTTTAACCTTGGTGCCTGTTATGCCACTATAATAGTGTACAAGCAGTCGAAAGTTGTAAGAAATAGCACTGGTGAAAATCCTATATTTTTGGGCCCAATTTACCTCCACTGGGATGGAAAATTCACGACATATTGTCACTTTTTCTCTCACTTGAGCTCCAGGATATCCACCACTGCTTTCACTTCGGAAATTAGGATTGGAAGTGACAACGAGTTTGCTTTAACAAAAGCTCTTGACAAGTGTTTTCCGGGAGTTCAGCGGTTTCTATGCACACGACACTTGATCCAAAATGTGCTGCGTTTGTTGCGGACAAAGGGGTCGATTTCCAAAGAGTCGAAAAAAATGCTGTTATCCTCTCTTTTCGGGGATGATGGAATTGCCAGAGCAGTTTCAAATGAGGAATTTGAAACCAAATCTGTCGAATGCAAAAGGCTTATTTCAAAGTTCCCCGAAGATATCAAGAGGTATATAACTGCACAGATTATGCCTCTGCTTGCAGAGTACGTTGTCAAACCGAGGAATGGGCTAATGCAAAAAGCGCTGTGGACCAACAACAATTCTGAGTCGATGAACAACCTCATAAAAGTTGACATTGATTGGAAGCCACAAAAGCTGCCTCAACTAATCAAAAAATTTAAAGACCATGCTATTTTGCAGTACACAGACATGCGGAGAGCCATTCACGGCAGGGGCAATTATTCCCTAAGTTCAAGGTTAAAAAGTATTCCTACAGCAATGCAGTATGGCGAGAGATGGGAGAGGGCCAAAAAGAGAAAATATTTCAAAAATTAATTTTTGAAAAAGACCGTTCCCATATTCCCCTTGAAAACGAAATGGAAGAAGCGTCGAACCCAGCATTTCTTTGTCCAAGAAAATCGCACATTGCCAGAAAGCCGGGACAAAAGAAGGGAACTAGGGCCGAAAGAGCAGCAAAAAAGTAGATGGAGAGATGTAACGTGGCTCCTATTATGACACAGACTAATATTCACTACACATAGCTTATTCATCCAGTGTTTTTGATGAGCTATCGGACAAAATAGTCACTGGCTTCGTGTTTTTATCTTTTATTACAGTTCGTTTGTGTGTTGGTGTTTTAACAGTTCATTGTTTTCACGTTGGTTAGGCTGATGTGTATGCTTTAATGAACATGTCATTTCTTTGCACGAATAAAACAAAACGTGATGTTACATACTTTTCTTTGCTGTTGTTAAGATAATCATGCTCGCCTTTCAGTTTGTTCTTGGTTTGGGTTTACTGCACCAAGTACCGCAGATACCGGCACAGGATGCAAGACAATAGGAAGACTAAAGCACCTTCATCCCATAAAAAGAAGGCAGGCGGTTCAGTTCATTGGATCCAGATTTGCTGGCCTTATCGCCGTCGCAATGTGGTTCACGTAACTGCTGATCGGTTACGGCTTCCTCCATCATTAAGTCAAATTCATGCACCTGAAATATCTAGCTAGCTCACCATACCCAATATTGGCTACCAACCAAACGAGAGGCCACACGATTCCTATACATTTGTATCAAAATAAAATGATATCATATGTACAAGCATCGGCGCTCATTCAACCACTGTTCTTCACTCTAGGCAAATTTTGATTACCTCCTAAACAAGCCACGCGTATATTTTGCTTCGTAGACAAAACTGAGTATGCATCATGTAACATTGTCAGTGATTTCGTGTTACCTCAATCTCAAAAATTTGCACGAGCGTCAATAAAGTAATTAGTGATGACGCCACAAATCACGTCGAAATATTTTGACGTCATCAGCGGTGACGTATCTAAACACGCCGAATGACCGTAATAATATGGTCTCATTTTCAGAAACGTTTGATATACTAGTCGTGATTATATGTTGAAATTTTGCATTTGATATTATGACGTAACCACTAATGACGTCATAAATTTAGTCGAAAGTCGCCACATTCAAACCATCTCGTTTGTCTCAAAGGTGCATTATACTGCACGCCAGTATATTTCGAATATTCAAATCTTAGATTGTGACGCAATCAGCAATGACGTCACCAATCACGCCAAAAATAACCGTATTGAAACCGCCTCATCTTTCTGAAACGTTTGCTATATTGCTCGATGTTCTATCTCCAAAATTCGCATTATCGATTGTGACGTAATCAGCAATGACGTCACCAATCACGCCACAAATAACCGTAATGAAACCGCCTCATCCTTCTGAAACGTTTGATGTATTGCTTGAGGGGCTATCTCTAAAATTCGCATTATCTATTATGACGTAATCAGTGATGACGTCACGAATCTTATGCGTCCCGTGCCATTTTCTCCAGTTGTGTTCAGTGGTGTTCAGTTATATTCAGTTGTATTCGTTGCGTGTATTCAGTTGTTTTCAGTTCTGTTCAGTCGTATTCAGTTTTGTTCAGTTGTTTTCAGTTGTATTCAGCTGTGTTCAGTTATATTCAGTTGTATTCATTTTCAAACTTATGTCACGTGCCACGAGCCGTGTATTCAGTTGTGTGCGGTAGTATTCAGTTGTGTTCAGTTTTTGTATTCAGTTGTATTCAGTTGTTTTCAGTTGTGTTCAGTTGTATTCAGTTGTATTCAGTTATATTCAGTTTTTGACAACACCCGTTATATAGGTCAAGATGGTCTGCATAGCTAAGATGAGTGGGTTTTTATCCAACTCTAAATGCTATAACAATCAATTTTTACAGTTAATGTCTATATTATACAGTTAATTGTTTTTCTCGCAAAAAAAGATTTCAGCATCCCTGTAAATGCTAGTTTGATGAATAGCATCAATTTGAATATTTACCGGTCATAGTTATTAGATTTAGCTCAAAACTTGAATAGGCTTTCTAATAACAGTTTCAAATATGAAAATACTGCCACTTAATGGACTTTGTAATAAATTATTCATTTACGATTGGTCAAATTGTAACCAGGAAGGGGATGTAAAAACGATCATCAATTTTTTTATAATTGCACACATTGCTTTGTTTAGGACTTGTTAAGTCTAATTTCATCAATAATATTTGCATTCGTTCTATTTGAAGCATTTGCGCATTTACAATTATGGTATGATGTCATAGAATTGTCTGACTCTTCAACGAACATTATTTAAAATTTTGTCAGTCGAAAAATGATAATCATTTTAACATGAAATATCAAAAATACCAAGATATTATGAAATTCGTCAACACCATATAATATTTTTAATGTCTTGTCTTTATTTTAGTCTATAATCTTCCATTGACAGGAAGAAATTGATCATCATTCTCAAGAAGTGGAAAAACATTGAAAATAGCCTGCTGCATTTGCCACCGTAGTATTCTTTTTTTTTTATTGGGGATAGATAAAGCACTTGCATGATATGAAAAAGACGACAACGTCTTTTAGCTGTCAAATTCAGGTACTGAAAGTGTTGATATATTTGGATATTTACAGTTAATGTCTACAGCAGCAATTCCCAAAGGCGCGGCGGTGTGGCTCAACGGGCTAAGCGTTAGGAATACGCTCGCCACCGCACCTCTAATTACTCTGCGTGGGTTCGCAGGTTCGAATCCCATGCAGGGATGGTTATGTGCGAGAGGATTGCTGGACTCCTCGCCGTCGTTGGGTGGTTCACGTAACCGCTGGTCGGTTACGGCTTCCTCCACCACCAAGTCCATGCTTCCGAAAACAAACAATACAGTAAAAAAAACTAATCCCATACCCGACTTGGAATGGTAACCGGACGAGAGGCCGTGGTTCGCCATATGGATAAGCCGTCTTATCGGCTTTCCTCTCCCCCGGGATAAATATGTAAATCCTATCCTATCCTGTGTTGCGAAAATGAACATTATTTGGTTGTATAATTCAGTTTATCTATACGCTGAAACAAACAAGTTAGGCAAAAATTATTAAAATTAATTAGTTATAATTAGTGCCTAACATTCTCCTAGATGTAAAAACACTCAAACTCAAGGTTTTTTTTTACAATTTTTTGGGCATTCGAGTTTGACATACTCTTTAGCACCATCTCGCTGAATAGAACCGAGTCTGTATAAGATATACTTATGAAAAATCATGACTGAATTTTCAAGGCTGATTGGCAATTTAAAAAGAAGTAATATTGAAAATAAATTGTCGAAAGTATGATTTATTTAAAAAAATAACTTAAAATAATTGTTTGAACTTCAGTGAATATTTTAACATGGTATAATGTGTGCTGTAGACATTTGAAGTCTTTGCGATTTACATTAGATTTGGCCTCTAAAATATTGTATTTGTCACCATGCTCCTAAAACAAAAGTGATTGTGTTTTTTGTGTAGTGATGATTTTACTGTCATGGGTCTTGCTTGCAATTGAATGTATCCAACCAGAAATTAGCAAATTGAAAAAGGTCTAAAATATTATCAGCCAGTTTGGAGGTTACAGTTATTCTATCGTTTATTGTATGCAAATTCCTGTTTATACTCAAAAAAGCTTCTATTACTTGATTGCTCGATAGATTTATTTAAAAGATACTTTTAGTAATTCTGTACTGTAAATGTTTTATGACAGTTTCACCATGTCAAAGAAGTCTGTAGTTGGGCATCTTTGTCTAATTCTCACTGCTAGTCCATGGGAATTTTCTGGTTAAAAACCTTTGTGTTGCAGGATGTAAAAGATATTGGTGTGTGTGTTGGTTTGGAATGATTCAGATTGAATGAATTTTTCAGTTTGTTAGTTATCAGGTGACCATTGTATCTAGAAATGATACTTTTGTGTGTTTGTGTTGTTGAAACTAATTTTACTAATGGATAAATGGTAGAAGAAAATATTTCAACAAATTTTATTGGAGATCTTGAGATTTTTCTAGCGCAATACCGAATTTGAAAGATCGCAAAAATAATAATCAAAACTAAATACAATTAGGCATGTTTATCTCACATTTTTATGTCAACAGATGGTATTTTAGAGAACTAATCAAAACTAAATACAATTAGGCATGTTTATCTCATATTTTTATGTCAACAGATGGTATTTTAGAGAAGTAATGTTCGTAACTGTTGTTCTTGGGGGAAGTTCTGGTAGTTCTCTCGCACACTGGTTGTATCACCCCAGTAGGGTCGTTTCATTCTGCAATTAGTTTCTCTCTGTAGTTCATTTAGGAGGCACATTTTGTACAAATGGTAGTGTTGACTGTTGACATTGTTATGTGATGTAATCTTGAAAACTCTCTAACAGCAGGAATGCTTTATTTATTATTATACATGTCAGTTTTCAACTTCCATTTTTTCCATGCTACAAGTAACAACAGGGGAATTCTTAGAACATCTATATTGTGATACACACACTCTCCATTTGTGAGAGCACCAACTAGCTCCCTTGTTCATTATTGTAATACCTTTCAAATCTTCTGCAGATGACTCAGACTCAATAAATGCTTTGCAAGCAATATGGAGTGCTATTATAAGTTTTGCAACATACGCTCTAGTAGTCACTCGTTTTGAAAGAATAGAACGAATAATAGATGGTAGTTATATGTTTCTACCGATAACAAGTAGATTAGGGCTGAAACCTTACTATTGATAAGTTACATTTTAGCGCTAACTTCCTAGTAAAGTGTTGATTCTCAATCAGTTCCATCTTTCACTTTAATTATAGGAGGAAATTCAAAAATAAGTCTTTTATGACATAATCCATTGCTCCGTAAAAATATGCTGGAGTAGATGAATTTTTGTCGAATTGAGTTCTTCACATTGATCGGAAAGTACTCGGTTGGGTCCTCCAAATATTCTAATCCAGTGCTCCGTGAATTTCTCAACAACTGTGGATGTCTTTTTGTTATTAATGACAACTACGGTGTTGTATTGAGTAATTTCATCCACCATATGAAGGTGCCACCCCACACATTTAGTTCTTACTGACGAAGATCTAATGCTAAAGTCTTATTAAAATAATCCACAGCCAAAGATAAGTCAACCACAAGCAGAAGTGGACAAGACTTGAATTTCAATTTCAACTATAAGCTGACTATGTCCAACACTCTATATTCTTTCCAGCACTGATCATCAATCAGTTTCGAGGTCAGAGACGTAATCAAAGGCAGCTCACCTAACCAGATTCATTTTTTTTGTCAGCCGGTTCCATCACAAAAGTTAAATTTTTCACCCGGTTCTGTTACAAAAAGTCATTACGAGTAACCAGTTGTGCTAACTGGTTTGCTGATCTCATAAAATTCAGTGGGGCGTGTCTATAGAACCTGTGCGAACCGGCTGAATCCCACCTCTGCACCTAACCTTGGAAATGTTATGACTGTGGGATCAATGAAGCAGTTCATTTGATCAGAAGAGAACTACATTGCAAAGCATTCTGCAGAACCTGAGAGAATTGTGGCATAACGAATCGCTTCGCAACAGTGTGTTGGTCAGAAGGATTCTGCAATGGAGTTAACAGCATCTGCCAATCACTCTGAACAGAAAACAACATAACAGAGATCTTAATCAATGTCATCATAACTGCCTATGATGGTCATCTTACACGACAAATGCATTTCTACATATCCAGACAGTGTAACCAGTATATGTCTTGCAGGATTAGCCTTTTTTATATGTTCGGTCTACAACAATGTAATCTAACATAGTGTAAGAAATTGTGCGAACAGACAAAAACTTTCGACTGGCCTGTCACTTCCATGCCACCGTCTAATTCTTGATGAGTCGACCAGTTCACGAACAAAACTGTATATTTGTCCCAAAATTATACCAGAGCAATAATACATGCATTGAACTCAACATCGTTCCCAATTCCAATGGATGTCAGACAATCACTATCATCAGAAAAATGATAAAATCATCATTCAAGGCAGTGATTTCCCTACACCCCCCCTATAGGGGGTGAACACCCCCCTAAAATTTCAAACACCCCCCCCTAATTTTGAGGTGCGATTCCACTTTTTATTTCCTAACTCAAGTATAATTGTATTCAAATATAACGACTATGGCATATTTATCAGTGTAGATGAGGGGTTCTAAACCGCAGTCTGCGGGCCAATTACGGCCGGCGTGACGATTTAAAATGGCCCGCCGAACTTGAGTGAAATAGTTTAACGAGCTAACCCTTCATGTAGTACCTTTTGAGTTTTAGATACCGTCTACTGTTACATCATTATCACAGTTTAAGCACGTTTATTTCGCAACAATTGAATTATACCGGTATCTCATGTATACGTATGGGTATTAGAATTACACACTTCAGTATTTTAGATATTTGCCGTATATTAAGAAAGCTTAAAGATGTCACAAAACGAAAACTAGGCACTGAAAACAGACGATTTTTAGATGAATGACAGCGTTTTTATTTCTTTATTGAAAAGAATCAAACTTCAGCGATTTGTCTTCTTACCAACAAAATATTTCAGTTCTGAAGGAATACAACATTATGCGCCATTATCATCAGTTGACGCGCGTATTTCAAAATTTAATTCATACAAAAGTCAAACACACATGTTCAAAAAAATGTGAAATGTGTAACAAAACAAGCCATAAGTAGCCATTCATACAATGCCAGATGAGCAAGTAACTTCATTAGTCACTATCAGTTGCAAATTACTTGTTGAAACGTAGTAGTGTATATATATTTACGGTTGAAAGTCGTGCTTGTTATCTATTTCCCGGGAATTCTATCAGCTAAATATTATAATTATTAATTTTATTACATAACAAACCGCGATGCTAGGTGTATCTAAAATCAAGCTTAGAGCCTATTTTGGTGCCTATTTCTCAAAATTTTCTCAGAACCCCAGCCGTGTCGTCCCGCACTTTTCCTGGCTCCCCTTTTCTGGCCCTACAATTTTATTCTGCTGTGGATTTTGGCTCGCCGTCAATCAACCCCTCATGTACATCGTTTCTTAAATACATACCATTTTTTAAGAATACAAATAACCTAGTATTATCTCTAATAGCAAATTATTTGCCACCCCCCCCCCTAAATTTCGAAACACCCCCCCTAAAATAAATAGCTGGGGAACATACTGATTCAAGGTAGGACTGTTCACTGCTGCATTAGACAGCAAACACAACGGCCCCCTCACCCCGAACAACCAGTATTCTTACCATTTTAGCTATCTGAAAACAGTATGTCTAATAAGCTAGACACTTCAAAGCACTTTATATAACACCAGTGCAGTTTCCTTATAGGGTAGGTAGTTGTTCCCCTCATCCTATGAGGGAATGCACCAGTCTTGTTAAAAGGGCTTTTGGCTAAGGATCCTTGATAGGTTTTTAGTTTTTCACATAGATTGTTTTCAGAGAGCTATAAAGGTTAGCGTACTGGGGGTTGGGGTCTGTTGTGTTTGCTAATCAAAGTAGCTGTGAACAGAGTTGTTCTGTCCTACCTTGAATGATGATGAAAATTAT